TTTTCACTTGTCAACCTTGAGGTTTCTCAGCCTCAGCAGCCAGCAGCTGTCTGAGTGAAGAAACACCTATAGCTCCAGTGGGCCAGGAGCAAGAGGCAGAGTTGGGACCCCAAGGTTGAGGGACTTTTACCCAGTCCCTAGAGTCTGGCACTTTGCACTTGGACTTAAAGCCTCCATATTGTAAGAATAAACTTCTGTTTGTTAAGGCCATCCCATTCGTGGTATATTTCTCGTCAGAGAAGCACTAGGTGCTGGGAACACAGGGAGACAGTTCAGGGGGCAGAAGTGCATGGAGGGATGGACACAGGGAAGAGGTAACTATTGGGAGGAAGAGGGAGGGGAGCTGTTGGATTGGGGTAAATTGTAGTCAATGTCATGAGACAACATGTGTATGAACTGCTGTATGCAACGTGAATTTTCTCTGTAAATTTTCACCCAAATCACACACAAATAAATAAATAAATAAATAACTCCACACACATAACCCAACCTTATCTGCACCTCTTGCAGCCCCACCCATGGGGCGAGGGCCACCACCTGCTTCTGCACTAACTAATCAATGACAGACAGTGGTCAATACCAGCCTAACCCACTCTCAGTTGTTCCACATGAACAACGAACAGAGAACTGTGCACACATCTCATCCTCTAGCACCCCTAGCAGGAGATAGATGGTGAGTGCCTAAGTGCTGCCAAACTAGTGAACAGAGTAACACACCAGCCCCACTTGCTCAGACAGATCAAAACAAAATAAAGCAAGAGGTGTGGGAGGGAGAAGGGATCTTGTTTAGACATGTTAAGCTTGGGATGCCTGTGGGACATCCAAGTGGAAATGCCTCAGCATTGGCTGGATATGCATGGTAGATATATATTTAATTCTTTCAATCCCTGTGAGTTGGTATTATTGTGAGGAAACTATAAAGGTGAATGCAAAAAAAAAAAAAAAAACGCACTGCCATCGAGTGGGATCCAACTATAACGACCCTTCCTTGGGTTTCCAAGGCAATATCATTATGGAAGTAAATTGCCCAACCTTCCTTCTGAGAAGTGGCTGGTGGGTTTGAACCACCAGCCTTCTGGTTAGTAGTCAAAGCCTTAGGCACTATGCCAAGGTGATTGCAGTGCAGTAAATTACTTAATATGGCCCTTCTAGCTATTATCTTTGTAATGCTCACCAAATGACTGACTGGATGGAGTTATGCATAGGAGGTGCTTGTGGCCCACCAAGGGGATTGGATAGCTTGTTAACAATGTAAATAGGATGTATGGCACCCTGGTAGGTGATGACGGTGATGTGTGGGACCAGCTAGAGAGAGATGGCAAAAACAGGGAGAACAGTGATTGGGCTGCGGCAAGCAATGAATAGTTGCTGTCAAGTCAATTCCAACTTAGGGTGACCCCATGTGTCAGAGTAGAACTGTGTTCCATAGGGTTTTCAATGGCTAGTTTTTCCAAAGTAGATTGCCAGACCTTTCTTCCAAGGTGCCTTGGAGTGGACGTGAACTGCCAACCTTCTAGTTAGCAGCTGAGTGTGTTAAACCAGGGACTCCTCCCTATTGTGAGGTAGGTGCTATTTTTACACCCATTTTACAGATGAGACACTGAGGGTGAAGGAGTTTACATGACTTGTCAAAGGTCCCAGAGCCAAGAGGTGCAGGTCTCAAAGAGCAAGCCTCCTGATTCTGGAGCCCATGCTCTTAGCTAGCCTGTGGTTTACAAGGCCTTGATTCCGCCCTGCCCACTTCTTCCGGCCTCCTCTCGGGCACCCTCCCCCTGGCTATAGCCTGTGCTTTCTAGCCTTATGCTTCTTCCTGCCTCAAGGCCTTGTCGCAGACTGGGTGAGTTCCCCGACACCCAGTCCAGTGCTTCTGGAATCAGTTCCCCATAGCACTGGACTCTGTACTTCTCCTTCATGACACTGATCACACTTACAATTAATTAGCTCCCCCACTCGTCCAGCCCATGGGCCCTGGTTGCTTGGTCTTCCCTTGGTCACTCACTATTCCCTGGCGATCTCCAGGTCCTTTCTGTGGCTCTGCAGGGCTGCCGCCATCTGCCCCAGCTCAATCTGGGCATTTCCTATGCAGCTGTACAAGTTTCCAACCAGCTCGTCCTTGTTGGGCACCTCTTCTTTGTTCCACTCGAGAACCTTCTTCAGCACTTTCTCAGCTTTCTGAAGGCTCCCTTCAGCACTGCCGCTGGTCAGCACTGGGGAGAAAAAGGGGGTATGTCGGGGAGGGCAGGCTCCTTATTCCTTAGGGCTGATGGGACAGCCCCTCCTCCCTAAAGATGCCAGCCACAGAGGCCAGGGGCTCAGGCTATGGTAGTCTTGCCCCCACCTGGCCAAGGCCCACGGTCCAGGCCTTCTGGAGGCACCTGTCAACCCCTGTGAGGGCATCACCTACACATGTCAATGTCCTCGAGGCTCTTGAGGATGTAATGAGCAGTCAGCGAGGGGCAGCGCTTGCGATCCCGCAGCCATTTCTTTTGCATCAGCTTCCGGTCCCGCTCCCTGGCATAGATGGGCTTCTGCTGCCTCCAGAAGTCACTGCGTGTGTCCAGATAGTTGATGCCTGTCATGATGAGGTCCTCCACGGTCACACCGCGCTTGATAGTTCCTTTGATCAAGTCTGTGAAGCAGGGGTACAGGAAGAGACAAGTAGAACAGGTGTCGAAGGGAGTCACCTCCTCTTAGCTTGGGATCCCTGCTGCCGGGGCCCCCGTGGAGAGCTCTCCCTACTCTTAAAAAACAGGAAAGAAAGAGTGTGTGGTAGTAGCATGGGCCTATCCAGGCCAGGATGAGGCAGGGCCTTCCTGTTGGCCCTCCCATGGTACAGAGCTAAGTGAAGGGGCTCCTTATGGCAAGATATGGGCAGCTAGCAGATGGGACAGCTGGTGTGTAGCATTTTGAGAATGCTCTCCTTCTGGGATGCCTCACTTCAAGCTGTGTCCTCAGAGAGGACTGAGTCTAAACACATGACCAGGCCCAGGATGCCAGTGCCAATTGAGTCTCCAAGTGCCAAACAAGCCAGTGCATGCTGGCAGCTGGAGGGGGTATGCCCAAGTCTTGCCTACCTGCCTGCCCAGAGGTTAAAGCTTGGAGCAAAGCTGCAGCAGGCCCTGGGGTGATGTTCAGGCCACCTCTTCCCTTCAGAGAGGCAACTCCAAGTAGTTCCTCTGGAGGGAGGGTAGCATGCAGGCTTGTCACTGAGAAGACTACCAGTGGAAAGGCTGCCCAGGGACAGACTAGCAGGGAATCCTGCTTTTGACCATAGGAAGCCAGTTCTGGGCAAAGGCATTTGACTCATCCTGCTTAGGCTTATGAGCTTATGGCAAGACCCCCACCTCCCTGTTTATATGAGATACCGATTTCAAGGCTCTGCCCTATTTTTTGTCACTGACAGCATAGCGTAATGGAAAAAGCATTTCACTAGAGATTGGGAGGCCTGGGTTATGGTATTGATTCCACCACTAACTGGCTTGTCACCTTGGACAAGTTATTCCCCATTCTGGGTCTCTGTTTCCTCATCTATAAAAGAAGGACAGACTAGATAATGTTTCAGGATGTTTTAGTACTAATGCCCACCTTCTAGCTCCTCTCAGCTGGATTCTTTTGCCCATTGTATAGACTGAGGGTCCAGGGGACACCACCATCAGGGATTATGGTGGTAAAGAAGTCCAGACCTGTCTTGCCTTCCCAGGGTACCCAAGTGGTGAAGAACACTGGCTCTGAAATTGAACTTCCTGGACTCACCTCTGAGCCATGTCACTTCCCACCTGCGTGTGATCTTAGGTGAGTTATTTTACCTTTCTGAGGCTCAATTTGCTCATCTGTAAAATGAGGATGATTGCAAACCTGTCCACGGGTCCATATTAGCTGCTATTCTATCAAAGGCTTTCCCTCTGGCTCACGCATAAGCATGCACCCCAGATTTTTTTTTTTTTTTTTTTTGGCTCATGTCCCCTTTGCAAAGCAAGTATCTGAAACCTTCATCCAGTAGGAGCTTTTCCAGATACTCCTTGTCCACGTAGAGCTCCCCCAGAAGCTGGCGGACAGTCTTCTCACTCATGAACGAGCTCTTCCGCCTGCTCTCCCTCTTGGTGTCCTGCACAAAGTGTCTCATGGGATGTGGCTTCTGCTGGGCTTTCATATTCTAGGAAGAGAGAGCACTCTCCAGTGGAGTCTCAACAAGCTAAGCACACCCAGCCATGGCCCAGATTCCTCCTCCTCCTCCAGGACCTCTCGGTGGGCCCAGAACCACAAGGTGTATCAAAGATGCTGGCTGCAGCCTGGTCTGCTAGACTCCCAAGACCCCTCTGGAGTCCTGTGGCCATCGGTCCTCCCCTCAGAGAGATGAGGCCACAGAACCAAGGCCCTTACCTCGGCCTGCTTGCTTAAGAAAGAAAGGTCTCCTTTGTTTTCTAGCTTAATTGAAGAAGGACCTGCAAAGACAAAAGCTGGTGTTCAGGTCAGCCAGGTCCCCAGGCATGACCTATCACATATTTTTATGTGGAAATGGCTGAGTTTAGCAGGGGGATGGTGGAGACTATGGCAAAGCTGTCCACGAGCAGGCTGTTGGGTTTAACATTCTAGTAACTAGAAAACTTCTACTAGCCCAAGGCCATGGTGGCCATATTTCCAAACAGAGGAGGGCCCTGGGTGCAGGGGGAGTTCTTCAAGTCTAGAACCATTTCCACACTCGGCCACCCACAGATCTGAAAACTGGCAAGGTCTCGCTCCCTTCCTGCCTCCCTGTGCCATTGAGCTGATGAACAAGGCCCTTGGATGCATACACAGAGGGCGTCAGCCAGGGACTAGGCCAAAGATAGGCCTCCTTTGAAACAGTTTTGAGGAAAATCAGACGCTGTGGTGTTTGAAACACTGGATCAGGGTCTGGTCCTCCAAGTGGACGGTTCCTGATAGATTCTGGTGGTGACAGTTTACCCCACTGTGCCTCAGGCCTTCTCCCAAACCTAAGATTCCAAGAGCCTTCCCAGATAAGGGCATAAACCAAGGTCACTCACTCCCCACTGAGTTGTTGATGGCTTCCTGGGCTTTCTGAATTCCAACTTTGAATTCTCGGTCAGGCCGAAGCTTGTAGCCTCGATGATAGAACACCAAGGCAAACTCAAAGTCTCCCATGGAGTACAGTGTCTCGGCCTTTTGTAAAATCCCCTGGAATGAGAGGAAGTCTAATAATGAAGGTAGAAAGACAAGGACTTAGCAGTGGCAGAGTGGAAGGGTACTGAGTCAGGGGTCAAGGCTTGGGGGGCAGGGGGCAGGGATCTGGGCAAGTGTCCCATGAAGAGAAAATGACATCAAACTCAAGGCAGTCTGGCTGGTTCTTCAACTACTTAGAGCCTGCGGCTGCTGCAGGCCATGTCAGTGGTGCAAACATGATCTAGCCCTTCCCCTTATCTACTCACCTTGCAGAAAGTCGGGTCACCCTGGAGGGACGCCTCTGCATCCTTCAGGGATTTCTCCAGCTCTCCCATCTTCAGGTAGCACTTGGAACGGGCAACCAGGCAGTTCTTGTCTCCATTCTGAAGGTGAAGAGCCTGAGAACGGAACCACTCAGGGTTGACAGGCACCATGTAGGGCAAGGGAGATGCCCTCCTGGAAAGGCCAGCCCCAGAGTCTTAAGTGGACTCTTCAGGCCAGCATGAACAAGGATGGATCATAGATAGGGTACTGTGGAAACTGCTGGTTGAGATGTAGATAAGATGCTGTTGCTGTTGTTATGTGCCGTTGAGTTGGACCCGACTCATAGCAACCCCTACTTGGGTTGCCGAGACAGTATTACTACAGAAGTAGATTGCCCCATCTTCCTTCCGAGGAGTGGCTGGTGGGTTTGAACCGCCAGCCTTCTGGTTAGCAGTTAAGTGCCTTAGCCACTATGCTACCAGAACTCCCTGGATAAGATGCTATTCTATGGATATATTGGCTTTCCACCAATGCTTGGGGTCCCTGGTACACTCAGGCAACAGAACCTTAGGAGCTGTTTAGTGCCACCAAATTCAACTACCTGAAACAGTTGTACAACACACTCAGAACAGACTTCCAAGGCTAACATGGGGACGCCAGGAACCAACTTGCCAGCACACAGCAACAGTGATGGCATGGCAAGAAAGCCAGGAAAACGGAGGCTGTGGTTCTGGTTCCAGTGTCAGGGTGGAGCAGTTTCCCCATGTCCTTTCTTCTCCCCTGTTGAAGATCAGACCATGCTCTGTGGTGTTCTATCCTTTCTGCAGCATCAGACCGTACCCACCCCTTTCTAAGGCCTTCCTACTTTTCCAAGAAGAGGAAGTAGCAGCTATCTTTCCTGGAAAAAGGTCACTTGTCACCCAACTTTACTTTCCCTCAGGGTGTTCTTTTCTCTTTGCCCGGGTTTCTGGAGGATGAAACATGCATTGTTGTTGTTGTTGTTATGTGCCGTCGAGTCGGCCCTGACTCATAGCGACCCCTGACTCATAGCGACCCCTCCTTGGGTTTCCGAGGCAGTATCACTATGGAAGTAGGATTGCCCAACCTTCCTTCCGAGGAGTGGCTGGTGGGTTTGAACTGCCGGCCTTCTGGTTAGCAGTCAAGTGCTTTAGCCACTATGCTACCAGAGCTCCTGAAACATGCATAGTCCAGCAATTTGAGAGAAGGGAACAGATCGAGGCAGGGGTCCTGAACTCAGTGGAGAGCCCAACGGGTCCATCATATCTGGTTTAAAGTGGTTGGTAATTGAAAGACACAAAAGACTCTTGGTAGCCATTGAGAAGCTTGACTTTAGGGAGAGTCTTGGGAGGGACTGATTAGAGGGCTATTCTACTACTCCACGTGGAATCAGAAGTGGACCGCAAAATAAATTGCAGCAAAATAAACTGCCGTAAGAATAACTGATAGCTTAATCAGGAGGGAGTACAGCACCTCAGCACTGGAATTTGAGTGCTTAGGTCTGAATCCTTTCTCTGCTACTTGCTAGTTTAGTGATCTGGGGCACGTTACTCACCATCCATTTCCTCATCTGTAAAATGAAGCAATAATAATAATAATATCTTCCTCAAAAGTGTGCAGTGCATTTAGTAGTGTGCCCAATATTCTAAAACAGCACTCATATGCCCTAGAGTGTGGAGGGGGGCAAGACGGAGCTTACATATAGTAATGTTAGTTATCTGACCAGTTGCTGAGTTGACTCTGACACATGGAGGCCCCACGTGAGTCAGAGCAGAATTATGCTCAAAGACTGTTCTAAAGTAGATAGTCAGGCCTGTCTTCTGAAGTGCCTCTGGGTGGGCCTGAACCACCTTTTTTATGAACTCCTGCAAGCCAAGAGACTTATCACTTCTACACACAAGACACCCAGCCAATTTTCTAGCCAATGGTGGGAACCTAAGACTGCTCTGTGGAAGGAAGCCAGTTAATCAGGGAACATTTAAGTAAAAAAAAAAAAAAAAAGGAGAAAGAGTCACACTGCTAATGCAAAGATGGGTTATTAACAATCAGGAGGAAACTAAGTGGAAATTGGTGGAAAATCACCAAAGGTACTGCTGTAACTGATGGAGCTACTCAGTGGCCTATCAACATATATCAACAATAGAAACAACAGTAACTAACTGAAATGTGGTCCTCCAGGCATCGTTAGGATTTCAGTGTTATCGATAGGAAGAGGTGATAGGTGATTGATAGATTCAGATGCCACTCACGTTGCTGAAGCTCTGGGCAGCTTTTGTGAATTCACCGCATAGATAGAGCCGCTCGCCCTCCGCCATGTAAGAGGGAAAGGTGCTTCTCAACACCTCATTGTCTGGGTCGGACATGGTCACCGGATTTGGAGACGCTGAAGCCGAGAAAGCGAGGAAAAGAAGCTCGAGAACCTCTGTTTAGCTAGTAGAAACCCCGTCTCTTAGCAACTGGGAGTCGTAGAGGTACTTCCGGCCCCGCTCCTCGCTTGTGTTGTGACCTGAATCCCCTGTACAACTGCCGCCTGTTTGCGCAGTCGCCGGTGCTACCGTGCACTGGGCTGGGGAGTGATGTGCGCGTGGTCGGCAGCTGCAAGGCTCACGCGCTCGGGAAGTGTTCGCGGTTGCACGTTTCATCGGTTCTCCCCGGAATTGCAAAGTGTCCCGAATTTACCGAGAAGGCTCGCATGTATGCAGCCAAGAAAGCAAGAAAGGGCTTAGGGGCAAAATTCCAAATAGCGATAAGGCATACTTGGCAAAGGTGTAAGTACCACGTGTCGCCTTCAGGGGGAGGGAGCACTGGGTTTGGAGTCAGAGGAATACCATTTCCTAATTGCGTGACCCTGCTAGAGTAACAACTCTGAGTCTTAAATTTTCCATCTGCCAAATGAGCAAATAAAAAAACCTTCAGGGATGTGAAGATTTAAATAAGATTGCAAGGCAACTGTGGTGGCCTAGTGCCTTAGGCATTTGTCTGCTAACCTGAAGGCTAGCGGTTCAAACCCACCAGGCACTCCTGGGAAGGAAAATTGAGCAATCTACTTCCCTAGTGATACTGCCTGGAAAACCCAAGGAAGAATCGCAATGAGTCGGATCCGACTGACAGCAGTGAGTTTGGTTTGGTTTTGCAAGGAAACTAGGAGTCCCTGGGTGGCACAAACTGTTAAGCACTGACTTCTGGCTGAAAGGTTGGCATTTTGAACCCACCCAAAGGCGTCTTGAAGGACAGGTGGGTTAGTGGTTAAAGAATTTGGCTACTAACCAAAAGGTAGGCAGTTCAAACATGCCAGCTGCCCTGTGGGAGAAAGATGAGGCAATCCACTTCGATAAAGATTGATAGCCTTAGAAACTCTATGGGGCAGTTCTACTCTGTTCTGTAGGGTGGCTCTGAGTCAGAAGCAGCTCTGTGGCAGTGGGTTTGGTTTTGGTCAGAGGAATCTTGGAAGACAGCCCTGTGGATCTGCTTCCAAAAGGTCACAGCCTTAAAAACTCTATGGAGCAGTTCTGCTCTGCACACATGGGGTAGCCATGCATTGGAATCTACTTGTCAGCAACTAACAACAGCATGGAAAATACCCTTTCATTTAACAATAATTTAATACATTTATTGAGGACCTAACAGCCCTCTCGACTCTCTCAACGCCTCCCCCTAAAGGTAGACTAGGTGGTTCCCCCAGCACCCTGAGTAGTTCTTTAACTCCTTTTAGCACATTACTTTCAAAACTTCTGTTCTGAATACCACCAGCAAGACTGTGATTTTCATGCTGTCTGGCTCATGTGCCATGGAGTCGGTTCTTTTTTTTAAAGAAAAAACTTTTTGTTGTGGTTTGGGTGAAAGTTTACAGAGCAAATTGGTTTTTCATTCAAGGACTCACACACATTTTGTTTTTGACAATGATGACAATCCCCACAACGGAACAAGACTCTTCCCACTTTCTCCTTGTGTTTACCTTTTCCATTCGTCCTTCTTTCCTATCCCTTTCTGACTTCTGAGCTTTCATGCTGGACAGATGCTACCCTTTTGATCTGGAATGGTTGATTGTTCTAAGAAGTCTGGACCTCTCTGGTGCGACTGTTCACCTTTTAGGCCTGTGTATTGTTTGGCTCTGGTAGCGTAGTGCCTAAGGCACTTGACTGCTAACCGGAAGGCTGGCGGTTCAAACCTACAGGCCACTCCTTGGAAGGAAGACAGGGCAATCTACTTCCGTAGTGATACTGCCTCAGAAACCGAAGGAGGGGTCACTATGAGTCGGGTCTGACTCGAGGGCACATAACAACAACAACATGCTTAGTGTAGGAGCTCTGGTGGCATAATGCCTAAGGCATCTGACTGCTAACCAGAAGGCTGGTGGTTCAAACCCACCGGCCACTCCTTGGAAGGAAGACAGGGCAATCTACTTCCGTAGTGATACTGCCTCAGAAACCCAAGGAGGGGTCGCTATGAGTCGGGTCCGACTTGACAGCACATAACAACAACAATATTGTTTGGCTGGAAGCTAAGGTGATTCTGACTTATAGTGAACCCATGGAGCAGAGTAGAAGTGCTTCATAGGGCTTTCTAGGCTGTAATCTTTATAGAAGTAGATCCTCGCAGAACCCCTGGGTGAGTTCAAACTGTCTTCTTTGCATTTAGCAGCTGAGCACTTAACCATTGCACCACCACAAGTCATTGTGTGGCACACAGTAGGAGCTAAAGAATCTTTGTTAAAATATAAATAGTAAAATAATGTCCTTAACCACATACACACACACAAATAAGTACATGTAAAACTGTAGAAATCTGAATAAGGTCAATTGGTTGTGTCAGCATCAATTTCTGATTGTTTTATTATTTTTCAAGATGTTTGTTACCATTAGGGGAAACTGGGTAAATGGCACAAAGAATCTCTTTTTATTATTTCTTATAACCACATGTAAATCTACGATTATCTCAAAATACGAAGCCCAATGAAAGGAAAAGACACCCTTACTACCAAGATAAATAATAACATAGCCATGGTCCCTTCCCTGTAAGACTTCCGTCTAATCAGGGAAACAGAGACAAAAAGTAGTAATGACTATCCAATGTGACGTTAAGTTATTCAGAGCTCTGTGTGCCTGTGAGAGAGATGAGTACAAAGTGCCAAGACGCCCAGACAAATGAATGATTCAGCCAGGGTTTAGGTGAGTAGAGACAGCTTCATAGAAGAGATAATATTTGCTCTGTAGACTAGTAGAGTCGTGCCCAGGAGGCGTAGGCAGGGGAGAACAAAGGCAAGAGGTGTGTAGGCTTACAGGGTATTTTTTAATTTATTATTATTATTGTGATTTGGGTGAAAGTTAACAGAGCAAATTCCCTTTCCATACAGCAGTTCACATACACTTTGTCTCATGACGTTGACTACAATTTCCCACAATGCAACAGCTCCTCTCCCACTTCTGCCCGAAAGTTACCTCTTCCCTGTGTCTTTCCCTCCATGCACTCCTGCCCTCTGAGCTATGTCCCTGTGCATACACAGCCCTTCTATTCTCCCATGATTGTTCTCTCAAAGGAATGTATCTACCTAATGTAAATGTTCACCTCATATGCCTGTCTTTTGTTTGGCTGGAAGCCACAGGAGTGGGTTGATTTCTAGACCTAAAGGGGCAGCTAGGGGCCATAGCCTCAGGGGTTCTATCAGTCTCTATCAGACCAGCAAATCTGGTCCCCCTTTTTTTTTTTTTTTTTTAATGATTTTGAGTTTGTTCCACATTGTTCTCCCACTCTATCCAGGATCTCCTATGTAAATCCCCCTCCGAGTGGTTGACAGTGGTAACTGGGCACTATCTAGTTCTTCTGGTGTCGTACTCAGATAGGTTGAGGATCACATGGTGTACCAGTCACTTGGACTAATTGTTTCCATGCATCTTTGATTTTCTTCATTCTTCTTTACTCTGGACGAGGAGAGACTCATCGTTACATCTAGACAGCTGCTTGCAGCTTTTAAGATCCCAGTCTATTTTGGTTACCTCTGTGCTGCTCTGACAGGAATATACCACAAATGGGATGGCTGAACAAACAGGAGTTTATTCTCTTACAGTTTGGAGGCATTAAATCCCAGTTCAAAGTGCCAGGCTCTAGGGGCTGGGATAAAGCCCCTCAACCTTGGGCTTCAGCTCTGCTTCCTGCTCCCGGCCCATGGGAGCTAGAGGCTTTTCTTCATTCAGACAGCTAGTGGCTGCTGAGACTGACAAGCCCAAGGCTGACAAGTAAAAAGGCACAGTCCTGATGTTACCAAATCACACCAAAACCAAACCAAACACATTGCTGTCAAGTCGGGCCCAACTCATAGCAACCCCTCCTTGGGTTTCCAAGGTGATATCATTACGGAAGTAGATTGCCCATCCTTCCTTCCAGGGAGTGGCTGGTGAATTTGAACCACCAGCCTTCTGGTTAGCAGTCAAGTGTATTAGGCACTGTGCCACCAAACCATGAGACAGGCCATTAATTCAAATCCATTGAAAGTCCCAAGGTCAGCAGAGCATGGCAGGCTACTGAACAATGACATGGCTACATGCAGGGTTCAAGTGTGCTGTAAGCTAGAGACCATTCCCAAAGCTGTTTCTTATATACGGGAAGCAGACCACATTCCTAAAGCAGCTACTCAGCTGCTTGTGGTAAGTCCCACCATGGATAGAGTTGATTGCCAGTCTCATCATGGGGAATAACTACCACCAGCTACCCAGCCACTCAACCAGGCCCAGCCAAGTTGACACACAAACTTTACCACCACACAGTCGCTACTGCAAAAGCAGGATGTGCAGTATGCTATGCCAATTGAGCTTGATGTCTTCTGCGACTATAATCCCGAGCCCACAGGTGCAACTTCTTGCTCCCTCTGGGTAGCTGGCTGTGGCCAAGAAGTGACCAGAACCTTGTCCCTTGTTAGCTTTACTATATACCTGGGAATTCTTACAGAACATATAAATACACTTGTAGAAACATTGTCTGCCAACCCTATACATGGTCTTGGACACACACACCCCTGCATAGACATACCTAATAGCTCAGCCTGTCCACCCATCTATCTACCCATATATCCATGTTTGCCTTCATTGACAACGCAGTACTGTATGTACAAAATGGTTCATTTTTTTTTTTTAATTGTGATTTGGGTGAAAATTTACAGAGCAAATTCTCTTTCCATACAGCAGCTCACATATACTTTGTCACATGACATTTACTACAATTTACCCCAATGCAATAGATCCCCTCCCACTTCCTCCCAATAGTTCCCTGTGTCCATCCCTCCATGCGTTCCTGCCCACTGAGCTGTCTCCCTGTGCATAAGCAGCCCTTCTTTCTCCCATGATTGTTCTATCCAAGGAGTGATCTACCTCAGGTAAATGTTCAACTCATATGCCTGTCTTTTGTTTGGCTAGAAGCCACAGGTGTGGGTTCAATTCCAAACCTGAAGGGCAGCTAGCGTCCG